GTACGATCAAAACTACTTTTTTCATCAATAAGATCAAGAACACCATCTTTGGTTACAATTGTTTCTGTTGTTCTTTGAGAATTCACATTTATCGTATCCCTAAATTAAAACCCTAGACAAATCTCGATTGTGTTAGTTTCGACTTCCACAATTGGCTCTAGATGCTCTGGTCAAATTGGTCTTTGAGCATCATGAGTCGACGGTGAACCTTATCTTCTACCATACTATTAGTAGATTTGGAACCAGAGAATGAGAAAAAAGGGAGTCATATTTAGGTTGTGACTGGAAAGAGGGAGAAGAAAAGGGAAGAAAATAAAAGAGAAGAAAACAAAAGAAAAGAAATGTTGAAAGTTAGAAAAATGTTTTCTACCGTGTATTTATGAGAAGAAATTTTCAGTTGGTTTTACTAAAAAGTAGAGGAATTGAGAAGAAAAAGTTTAATTTTGATGGAGAATGAATTATTCTTGACTGGAGAAATGATAGAGGAATTGAGAATATTTAGTTTTCTTCCCAATTATTTTCTTCTATTTACATCAACCAGTCTGACCCTATGTTTAGTTTAGAGGAGAGTGAACAGTTGTAGAAAAAAATGAGAAAGATTTACATTTAACCAAAAAATATGAAGAACGTGACGAAGAGGGAGATATTTTAAGGATTCTAGTTATTATATCAATAACAACCAATACTATCTATTCCATATCCCATTTATTTATTTGATAATCGTTTTACTTATATGTACTATTTTAAATTTACAACCAATACAAATGTAAAAGGCATAAATTCAATATAAATAAAATAAATTGTAGGATTTTAGTTGTTTAAAAAACAATTGTAGGATTTCTGCATATTCTATTATATATATATATATATATATATATATATATAATCCTACAATTTATTTTAGTTATCTATCTAACATCAATTTTTTTACTGAAACTAAGAAATCACACAATTACGGTCAAATTCTTATCATTCAAAATAATTACTGTCAGGTATTATTCTTTTAATAAAATAGAAAGCATTGTAATCAATTCTAATTAATTAGTTTCAGTTATTATTGGATGCAAACTATTAAAAACAATTTGATCGTTTATTTTAATGACAATATTTTTATATCATTTTATAAGTGATGTTAACAACAATTAATAATTACATCAATTACCTATTCGATGTAAATCTAGGTTTTACTATCAATTTTTTTAAAGTGATACAAACTAATAAAAACTGTATCAGTTTTATTGAATTGATGCAAAACTAATTAATTATAACATCAATAATTATAATTGATGCTAAACCATCTATATTTGTTTCACTTTTAAATAACTGATTTAAAATAATATCACTTAGTTTTGTGATACAATTTAAATGATACAACAGATCCTTTTTCTTGTAGTGACTGTAGTGCATGTAAAATATTGTGATCGATCGGTTAGTAATAGTACGTAGTATTCTTTGAAATGAGCAACATACGAAAAGCTGACCAACAAAAATGGAAAAACATACAAAACAAAAACGAGTTAAGATAAAAAAAAAATTTAAAAAAAAAAAAAAAAAAAAACGAGTGCAAAACAAATCATACGTGCATCATTAAAATAATATGAACACGACTACAATAATGTAAGCATGGCAGCCTTCTCACGCGTAATGCGTCAGTCAAAGGATCATGATGCATATATTTTTGTGGATGGAACAATTTAAAAGAAATAAAATTAGAAGTTGATGTGCTAGAAGAAAAAAGAAAACATATTTGTCTAGGGAGGTAAACAAAATTATTCAAGCTTTTTCCTTTTTTTTTTGTGTATCTTCAATCTCATGGTAGATGTCTAATTAAGTAATCATGTAAATATATTTTTGTTTGATATACCAAACAAAAGTTACATTGTTGATCACGTTTTAATTAATTTCTATCAATTTGTTTCGTAGCATTATTTTTATTTTTTGATAAAGGGTTTCCTATATTTTAGACTTTTAGTACATAAAGACAATTATTGAATTTTGTTTGTGTATGTTTTTTACACATACGTACGTAATACGTTAATCTAAAATATGTTGAAGGAGAAAATAAGTTGCATCTAGAACGAGGTGGCTTGATCCAAACTGGGCTTTGTTTGTTCTTGTCTTCTTGATGTATCTTTTGGGCCAACCCAAATATTAATTTCATTTTCATTCATCTTATGAAGAGTAACACTTCACCTTTCTTTCTTTATTTAACTCAAACATACTTCATTCGTAACTGATACTAGGAAGCAATCACAGGTGTTTGTGTTTCCCTCTCCAAAATATATCTTAATCAAGGAGGAGCATTACACTCCAAAATAGCAAGATGAAGTGGACATGAAAATATAGATTTTGCTATAAAAGATGGCGTCAAAAGACCATTTCTTCGACCAAGTATCTTGCTTGTGCTACTCTTCAAATATGGACGGGTCTTTGATGCCTGAACCAGATTCTTTGTCACTTTCAAAGATGTTATCCTCGAAACCCAAGTTGTTGATGCATGACATTGCACACACCATCGCATACGCTTCTGCATCCAAATCTATCCTTAACCTAGGGTATGCTTTTGCACCAAACCATCTTAATACTTCATCTTATAATATAACAATGATAAATGTGAACTACAATTGATAAATATTAATTCATAACATTAAATAGACGTAGTTAGTAAAATTAATACTCCTTTTGTTTCAAATTATAAGATGTTTAAGGTAAACACACACATATTTAGGTAATTTGTTTTTTAAAAAAACATTATCTGTATTTAATAAAAACAAATCTCACCAATCATAAAAAATATTGCAGAATATAAATGGTCAAAAATGATCAAATGCATTTAAATTTGCATAGAAACTTACAAAACATCTTATATTATGAAAAAAAACTAAAACATCTTATCATTTGACACAGAGAGAATATAATTTATAATAAGTTGAATTTTATACTCATTTTTAAACCCACAACTGTAGTTAAACAATTAAGACTAACAAGCAAACCAAGCTCGTCCCGCTAGGTCTGGCCAAAAGATCGCACAAAATAATCAGGCCCGTCTTAGAGTATGTGCTAACAATGCAAAAGCACTAAATCCTTTTTTTTTTTATTTCTTTAGAGAAAAAGACCCTAAATTTTTATAAATTATTTTGAAAATGGTCCATAATTTTGAATTTCTATCTTACATATACATGATTTGAAATTTTCTTAGGAGTGGGCGCATATAATTTCGAGACTGCCTGGAAATAATACAAGAAACGAATAATACGCTTAACATTAAATAAACATAATTAATTAGTAAAATACTCTCTAAATCATTATAAGTTGAATTTAACTAAATCATACTCATATTTAAACCCACACGTATTCTAAGACGTATTTCACCTATGTATTCCTCCTTTATACTATTATATAATTAAAATGTTTCAATGAAAATAAAAAGTTAAAGAAGGTAGGACTAACAAGCGGACCAAACTCGTCCTGCTAGATACGTCCAATGGTACACTTTAATATGTTTAAACCGTGAAACCTCCGTGTCACCCTGTGTTAAGAAGCTTACCCGCGGCAGGATGGAATGGATGAGACGATATCCGCATGCGTATAAGCAGTCATAGACTCGTAGCTAAGATCGACTGATAAATACTATGTCAACATGAATAATTGCCAAAAACATCAATTATCTATTATAGTAACCAAAAAATTATGAGATAGAAAGCTAATGAGGTGAAAAAGGCAAGAAAAAAAGGTTTGAGGTAGTAAATGCAGTTTCCATTGACATTGGTAATGATTGTTGTTTCAAATGGGGTCCTTTTCTTAGCTGTCGTTCACAAAAGCACTCTCACTATTGTCTCTGCCACTAGCAAAATATTGTCTTCAAAGTCATTTTCCTTACCTTTATTATTACACTGCAACATTAGTTTTTAGATTTACATATTTGATTGGTAGGAGAACCAGGGCCTCACATAAGTGTACAATAACATTAACTTTAGTTGTCTTGGAACATCCATAAAAAGAGGCACTGACAAATTGAACCGATTTCTTACTTATTTATCAAATAGAAAGATTAAATTCGGCCTTAAACTATGCAAACATTTGATACTGGACGTGTTTTAAAACTCGTAGTCTCGTACTTTAAAAAACTCGGTTAAAACCAAACTAAAACAAATAAACAACTACAATTATCAAACATGGCACATGTAGTTTTAAACTGTTTTTCTTGTTTTATATAAACAGTCGTCCACATTTGAGTAAACCACCACAAAGATACGAAGACCATCATTACGGTGAGTTCTTTAACTTTATCTCTTAACATTGTTTAAGATTAAAAGTTTGGTTTTTGTAAGTTAAGAGTCAAATCTTAGCTTTTAACACTCTCAAAAGCTCTTAGCTAATAGTCAAATCTTAGTATTTTAATCTGTTTTAATTTATTTTTAATGTTTAATTCTAAGATAATAAACTAAGAACCATCTAAGATACCACCAATAATGGTGTTTAGATAACTGAAGACAACTAAATCTAATTGCAATTACTAAATGATTAATTAAGAATCTTACCTTGTAAGAGTTTTAAGATTCGTTTCTCAGTATCATCATGTCAGTTCTCGATCCAATGAACCTTTTAAATACTCTCTCTGTTCCTTGAAGTTTGATGTTCTAGTGTTTTGAATTTGTTCCACAAAGATTGATTTTCTATATATTTTTTTAATTTTTAATTAATTAATTTTAATAAATCGTAGATTTCAAGACGTAATGATTAACTGTTTCAGATTACTATTGGTTCATAGATTATTAAAAAATATTTAATAAAAGTAAATAATTAAACAATGATTGTTTTTTAAGAAAGGTGAAATCTCTGAAAAATCAATCTTTTAAGAACAGAGGGAGTATGATTTATCTTTTCCATAAATACTGAAGACAACTAAAGTTAATGTTATTGTACACTTACATTTATTGAAACACCGATTACACTAGTGGTATTAAAAATAAAAATAATGCAGAAAAGAAGAAAATATCTAAAGAATTTGAATTCAAACTTTTTCACTTCCCGAAGTATACATTAAAAGCTCTTAAACATTACCCAATAGTGTTGAAATAAACAAAAAGTGAGTGTGAAAATCAAGATTCATTCAAACACAAAAACAGTATAAAAGCATTATATAATCAAAAAAAAAAAAACCATAAGTAAAATAATGTTACATTACTAAACCTAATTCTAATAATAAACGAGTTATTTCATCATTATCTTAGTGATTACCACAAATCACCATCATTAACATTCATCTTCTTCGTTTTAGTCCACAGAGTTAGGACCAGAGCAAGCTTTCAAATTAGGGTTCCAAATCCATTGAACTAAAAACTTTCTTCCTCCTTTACCATTCATATTAAAAGTCTTCCCTTCTCTATCTCTCATAACTTGACCAATATACCCTCCTCCTCCGCCGCTTCCATACAATCCTTCACACAAATCACCAATCTCCGTCGGAGCCGTCGGATCTTCTCCGGCGTACCAAGCATTAATCAACGGATTCGATACAACTTCAGCTAACTCATGACCAATCACACTAACCATCCCATCTACACCAGTCTCTCCGTTCGGTGGCCGGAGCTCTCCCGGACCACCGTGTCCCATATAACCCGGTAATGCAAACGGATAAGCACAAACCTCAGGACATTGTTTTCCCGATTGACCAACCCAAGCGTAAGGCATAGTGTAACCAACCATCGACGGGAAAGTGAAATAGTGAAAACCACAGACCGCGCGGCAAAAGTCTTGCATCGTGACGTCGTGTGACGTCAGAACTAAATACATTCCGTTTTTGTGATCCACCGGAAACGAAGCGGATCTCGCGGCGGAGGCGATAACGTCTTGAATCGTCAGACGAGTTAGGTGTTGGCCGTGGGAGTAATTCGAATCGGAGTATTCACCGGCGATTAAAACGGATCTTGACACGTTAGCTCCGGTTTGATCTGCGTAGAGAGAAGCGGTGCGCCACCATTCAGCGACGGAGGGAGAAGGAGCTTTAGCGTCGAAGATTGAATTGAGGAAATCTCTGATTAAGGATTTGTGTGGACGAGACCAACGTCCGTACCAGATAACGTAGATGTTGATCGGAGAAGAAGAGAGGACTGGTCCCATATGGTAACGGAGGTGGATTAGATTGGAAGATCCTTCGAATTTTTTGGAGGATGTGAGTGAGAGACTCCGCGGCGGAAGTTTAGGGTTAACGAGCTCAATCTCCGCCGCGGCGGAGGGGATGTTTAAGGAGTTAACAGTTGTTGTGTGTTTGTTGTTGTTTTCGAGAGAAGAAGAGATGTAGAAGAAGGAGGAGAGAGTGATGAAGTAGAAGAAGGAGGAGATAGTCGCCGGAGACGACATTGTTATTTTGAAGAGTGAGGTTTTGTTGGTAAGAGAAGAAGAGAGAGAGATTTGATGATTTAAAGGAGAAATGAGAGATTTTGGAGAAGAAAGGAATGAGAGGGAAATTGGCTGTTGCCAGCTGCTGTGAGCGTGGGCTTCACGCGCTAGCCTTGTTGTTGTTTGTCTGTCTTCTTATTAGGAATGACATAAATATGGGATGGGATTGATTTCTCACTTTTTTTTTTTTTTTTCAAGTCCTATACAGAATTAAAGAAAATAAAAGGTATATATAAATTTAAATAATAAATATGAACTTCTTGCCCAAAAAAAAAAAAATATAATTATGAACTTCAAGAGTAATTGTTGAAATAAAATTATAAAATAATACAGTATATTTTGTATGAAAATCTGAAAAATTAGAAATTATCATCGAAAATAGTATATAGAAGTATTATATGTTAGAGTTTAATCAAAAATTTGATAGTCAAATCTAATATTTGTATTGATTAGAATCGATTATGAATAAAGAAAATAACATTATTATTGTTGGTTTTTTTCATTAAATCATTTTTTGTATTTGATGTTTATGACTTGTATGTATATCATTAATAGTATTCAAAAGGCTTGAACAAAGTTTGTTATTACACCAAATGTCAATAGTTTAACTAGTAAACAAATTTAGACAAAGTCTAAAAATTATCAGTTCGAGTGATATTTGAGAAAAATCATATAAAATATTTTGGTGATTCAAAAAAAAGTTGTTACTATTAGATAAGTGTTTTTTTTTTAATTATGAACTAGATCTTGACCCGCACGTACGTGCGGGGTTTCATATTTCAAAAACATTTCTTACAAATTTTCATACAATATAGATTATTTTATTGTTTTTATGATGTATATTTTAGTGTATTAGATCTAGATCCACATGTACGTGAAGAGATATTTTTTTTAGAAATTGTTATATAGATTTTAAAAATATAAAATATTTTGTTGTGTTAGTGAACTTTGTAATAATATAGATATTATAAAGTTAGAGTAATGAACGAAATTTAGTTGCGTTAGTGCATAGTTATATTTTAAGATTCGGACCTACACGTACGTGTGAAATTGTATTTAATATAAAATTAAGATATTATTTAGTTGCAAAAGTTAAGTGATGTTACGTTTTTATTTTCTAAACTATTCAAAACATTTCTAATAGTTTGATTACATGTGTTAAATAGGATACATATTCGGTTTAGTTTGGATTATTTCATGTATATTAGCTAGGCGTAACTATTTTGGAACATGAAACCTATCCCGTCTTGTATATGTCATAAATTTTTCGTCCCATAACCCGTCTCGTATACGTGAAATAAAAATATTACGGTCCCGTATCTGTCATAAATTGTAACTAAAAACGTACGTATAAGGTTATGTGTGTAAACAAATTTATTTTATATAGTGCTCATAACACAAACTCATACCAGTTGAGTATTAAGTTTGATTTTTAATTTATGTCCCCCTGCCATCCCGTCTCGTAATTCGAATTCTCATTTCATTCCATTAAAACCATATTCCAAATTCTTGTTTGCTTACTTTAAAATACCATAAAATATATACTGTGAGTTTTGCGGATTAATATGTATGATGTTAAAGTTACAAATATTTTAACAAATTTATTAATGTTTCTTTCCTTAGCTAAATTTTGCATATTCTTCTTTTCATTGTTTAATCATATTTAGTTGAATATTTGGACTAAAAATAAAAGTTTTAGATACATCTATAAAAGGGATATGCTATTGCTGCATAATTTGTGTTGAATGCAAAATATATAATTAGTTTACATAATTTCAAAAACTGTGTGCAATATATTATGGATTTATTTAAGGAAGATCTGAGTTGAAAAGAAAAAAATAAAACACAAAATATTTCAAAATTAATATGTACATTCTATTGTTTAGATTTTTTCGAAAATTGCTCTAAACGAAAACCATTATGATAATTACTTAAAATTTATTATTATTTGAGTTTATTTCATAGTAAAAATAAATATTTGTTAATATTTAATATGGTTTTTTAGAAATTATGAAATAAAATTTCGTTTTATATTTCAAAATTTGTAATAAAAATATTATAACAAAACTGAATATTAAAATATTTGCATTTAATTTTTTTACCAAATTTCAAATTCAATCTTAAAATCCTCCATTGATAAATCTTTTTAAATGATAGTTTTTTTTAATTTTGAATTAAAATGATATTATTTTTATTTGTATTTTTGATATAGAATAGTCTATTAGGATTGGTTTAGAAAAAATCTTAGTTGGATATCAAATCTTAGTTTTTCAATTCCTATTGGTTAACAATTTTTAAAAAATTAATTTCAAATTTTCGTTTATAATTAATAAGAGAGAGAAAATTAGTTTATTTTTTTGGAAATTAATAAGTATTTAAAAGAATTAAACTATTTTTTATTTAAATATATTAATTTTGTGATTACTATTGTACCCTTAATGAAGTTATTTAAAAACACTAAAAACCAATGGCATTTTTTATAATTCTTTACCCTTTATAAGGTTATTTATTATCTAATGCTTCCCAATTAATAATATAGATTGTGACTCACGATTTGGGTACACGAGATAACTAAAGTATTCTATCGGTATTGAATGAAAAAGGATGATAATGGATATTGTTACATGTATTTGAACCGAATGTTTTAGTTAATTCTCGGAGTACCATTATTTTAAATCTTTGGTTTAGCTTGAATAGCCAAAAAAAGAAATATCTACTCCCTTTACTGTTTTCGAATTTGAATATCCAAGTCAATGCAAATACTGGCTCTCTTTTTCTATATGTACTTCCTTTTGACACTGACTATATTTTTTTTTTTTTTTTTTTTTTTTAAATAACTACTTATATATATATTTTTTTTTCTCCCAAATGGGCTTGGGCCGAATCTACAAAAGTCCAATCCAGTTACAAAAAGGAAATTGGCAATTCACCGGAAAAACAAAAGAGGCTCGCCGTTTGTTGATAGATGCCCGCAGAGCAACCGGAACCTGAAATCCGGCGGGCTCAAGACCCACAGTTTTGTGGCTACAACCGAAGACCGTGAAATTTCGGCGAAAGAGACCGGTTTCCGCCATCCATTACATGCCTCCGACGAACCAGCCCACCACAAGTCTCCCGGAAAGCTAGTCACTCCGACTAAGCACATCGACGGCATCAGATCCTGAAGAAGCAATCCGACACACTGGACGGAAACCCCTCTTTTCCAGACCGGAAAAACAAACCAAGATCCCTGAGCTTTGACGAATCAATCCGGCTCGAATGGATGCTAAGTTGTGGCGGATCTAAAGGATGGTGGCTCAAATCCAAAACCCTTACACCCGACATCCACAACCGCCCTCTAAGATCCTACGGATCTGCAGCTAACCACCGAGCAAACAACGAACCCACCTTAATCCCCCCAACTTCCGCCGTGAACGCAACTTGAGACTGACGGTTGAGCCGGAGGAACTGAAGCCACCCACGACGTCCCAACCATGAGAGATCCGCTGCAGTAGCCCTCCTCCATCAGACCCGAGTCACCTCCACATCGAAGGGAAAACGCCACACCACCGTTGACGGAGATACGCCTCGACTCTCTCCTGAATCGTCCAAGAGTAGATTCGGCTGGTTATTGAAGCGCTACAAGGATCTGCGAACTAGATCTAGGAAAAGAAAATCGTCTTCAAGGCGAGAGAAAAGCGCGGATTTCAAGGCAACGATTGTGCCGACACACTGACTATATTAAATTAAAGGAAAACTAGGATCGGATCCGCGGTCCACCGCGGGAGAATATTGGTTTACATATGTTGCATTTAATATTGTGTATGTTTTTTAGTAGAACGAATCGTGTAGTATACTTATAAATATTCATAATAACGAATTGTAGAGAAAATGTAAAATTGTTTATAAATATACCCATCGTAATAATTATAATTTACAAAATAGAATTTTGTGTTTTAAAATTCTAAAATTAGACGATTCATGAGATTGGGCTCTATCTGTTATGATGTGATAGTTCTCGTGGGGAAATAGATCGTTTTCCCCTAGATGAGAGATTGAAAGATGAAGTATAATGATTAAAAATTAATTATTATTTTTCATGATTCACAAAATTTAATAAATACTTATCATCTTGTTGAATAATTCTAAAATCATATTCAAGAAATCTTTATAAATTGAAAATTAAACTTCTTTGGTAAGCTATAGGTATGAAAATATCATAATTTCGATTTAATCTAATTAAATTAAAATTAGTTACATGGATTTCATATCTATTTAATTTACATGACCAAAATAAAAATATCTATTTAATTTACACGACCAAAATAAAAATATTAATTTAATTTATAAAACAGATGGGTTATTTGTGATAAATTTTTTAGAAATCTTTAGAAGTAAGTAAAATATCTTTCAATTAATGATAGTTGGCTAAAATAAGCGAAATTAATGACAAAAACGTTGATTGTTATGGAATTAGTCCAAAAAACATATGAACAAATTTATTATACGTAATTAATGTATAATATTTTTTGGAATATGCTTTTATTATTAGTTACCATAAGTACAATCATATTTTATTTGATTTCCATAAATATTTGATTTTATTTCGATTTTTCATTATTAATTCGAATTTATATTATAAAAAAATTTCAAAGATCCGATTTCAGAATTTCGGGTCAATTTCTGATTTTAACCCGACCCATTTTCATTTGTACTTCTCTTTTAATAGTATAGAGATTTTCTTGAGATATGTGGATGGAGAAAATATCTTAAGGTTTTATTGAAACTTTTGTGTCTTAATGCATGTCTTTTTTCTTTATTTACACATTTGAGTTTGGGTTTTTGTTTCCTTCTAAAGCTAAATCACATGTTTGTCAGTATCTTTGCTAAATAATGAAGAAACAGTAATAAATATAAAATCTACTTTTCTTTTTTTGGTTGTAAAAAGTAGGCATGAGATTTATATCCGTTATCCGGTTTTTGATATGAAAAACGGATATCCGGCCAAACGGATACGGATAGTAAAATGACGGATATCCCGGATATGGATACATATAGGAATAATCCTAAAATTTGGGCCGGATAATAGATATCCGGCAAAAAAAAAATATATATATAAAACTTAAAAGCCTTATGACTCTATTTTCAAGTGTTAAAGCCTAAAAAAACTTGTAAGTCCAACTTTTTTAATTTTTTTTATTTATTTTCAATGTTAATAAATAAATCATATGAAAAAGATATAAAAAAAATTTCTAAGAAAAATTTAAGAAGTTGATTGATGTCTCTTTTTTTTTTTCAAGAACATCACTTAAATCTTTTAAACTTTTTGCTACTTTAATAAATTATTTTTTTTTGTAATGTTTTGTATATATAATCAACTTTTAGATATTTTATAAAATTTTTAAGCTTTTTATGTATGATTTTAATGAATTTAGGATTTTAAAACACTATTTCCGGATCCGGATACGGATACTAAATTGGCGGATAATGCGGTTACGGATACGGATATGGATATCATAAAAAACCGGATATCCGTTCCGTTTACAGGCCTAGTAAGAAGAGGGGAGACAATAATCGCATTAGAATTTAGAAGAAATTTAATTTCTTTATGAATTTTTTTTATCGTCGTATACTCGTATTACTACCAAATGAAATAGTAATACGACGATAATTTATGCTTTCTTCTGTCTCTCCCTTTTTTTTTTGTTTAATTTGTATCTGATTTTTTTGATATAAAGATACTGTATGTCTGTATCACTGTATGTATGGACATAAAAAGTTATCATTTCGAAGAGATTTAGATTTATCTTATTATAATTTTTTGAAAAAACAGAAATAACTAAAAACTTTGAATCAAGCTAAAATTAAAAAGTTCTTATTGCTATTAGCCTATTATTAGTTTGGTTTCGAAAATCGATTAAATTGTTGTTTTTTCTTGAATTAAAGTGACAAATGCCAACATTAATTTTAGACAATAGACTAGATCATGACCCGCACGTACGTGCGGGATTTCATATTTTTTAAAAAATTCTAACAAATTTTAATTCAATATAAATTATTTCGTTGTTTTTATGATATATATTTTAGTGTATTAGATTTGGATTCACACGTATGTGTAGAGATATTTTTATAGAAATTGTTATATAGATTTTAAAAATATAAAATATTTTGTTGTGTTAGTGAACTTTATAATAGTACAAATAATATAAAATTAGAGTAATAAACGAAATTCAGTTGCATTATTGCATAGTTATATTTTAAGATCCGGACCTACACGTACGTGCGAAATTATATTTAAGATAAAACTGAGATATAATTTAGTTGCAAAAGTTAAATGATCTTACTTTTTTTATTTTCTAAACTAATCAAAACATTTCTAATAGTTTGATTACATGTGTTAAATAGGATATAGATTCGGTTTGAGTTTGGTTATTTCATGTATATTAGCTAGGCGTAACTATTTTAGAACGGGAAACATATCCCGTCCTATATCTCTCATAAATTCTTGGTCCCATAACCCGTCTTGTATACGTGAAATAAAAATATGACAGTCCAGTATCCGGCATAAATAGAATATGTGTAACTGAAAACGTACGTACAGGGTTATGTATGTAAACAAATTTATTTTATATAGTGCTCATAACCTGAACTCATACCAATTGGGTATTTAGTTTGATTTTTAATTTATGTTCCCCTCTCATCCCGTCTCGTAATTCCTATTCTCATTTCATTCCATTAAAATCATGTTCTAAATTTTTATTTGCGTACTTTTAAATACCATACAATACATACTGTGAGTTTTGTAGATTACTATATATGCTGCTAAAGTTACAAATATATTTTAACAAATTTATTAATGTTTCTTTCCTTAGCTAATTTTGCATATTCTTCTTTTTATTGTTTAATCATAATTAATTTGATTTTTGGACTAAAAATAAAAATTTGAGATACATCTTTAAAAGGGATATGCTATTGCTGCATAATTTGTTTTGAATTCAAAATATATAATTAGTTTACATTATTTGAAAACTGTGTGCAATATATTAGGGATTTATTTAAAGAAGATCCGGTTGAAAAACAAAAAATAAAACGCAAAATAATTTAGAAATTAATATATACAATCTATTGTTAGATATTTATCAAACTTGCTTTAAACGAAGGCTATAATGATAATTACTTTAAATTTCTTATTATTTGAGTTTATTTCATCATAAATATAAAGAGTTGTTAATACCTAATATCGTATTTTAGAAATTGTGAAATAAAATTTTGTTTTATATTTTAAAATTTGTGAAAATATTATAACAAAACTGAATCTTAAAATATTTGTATTTATTTTCCTTACAAAATTTTAAATTTAATTTTAAAGTCCTCCATTGATAAATCTAAATGATAGTGTTTTTAATTTTGAATTAAAATGATATTATTTTTCTTTTTATTTTTAATATAGAATAGTCTATTAAAATTTGTTTTATTTTTGAATTAAAATCTTAGTTGGATATCAAATCTTAGTTTTTCAATTCCTATTGGTTAACAATTTTTTAAAAATTAATTTCAAATTTTCGTTTATAATTAATAAGAGAGAGAAATTAGTTTATTTTTTTGGAAATTAATAATTATTTAAAAGAATTAAACTATTTTTTATTTAAATATATTAATTTTTTTATTACTATTGTACCCTTAATGAAGTTATTTAAAAACACTAAAAACTAATGACATTTTTTGTAATTCTTTACCCTTTATAAGGTTACAGGGGCGGATCCAGATTTTTTTTTAACCCAGGTCATAATAAGAAAGAAAGGTAAAAAATTTAACAAAAGATGTCCAACTGGGAATCGAACTAGTGTTTGGGGGGGGTCATTTAATGACAGATTTGCCAACTCAGCTGCAGTTTCTTTATGGAATCTTTTACCGAAAAATATTTATATGATTATTTTACCAGGTCAGTTGACCTTCCTCTCTTTTTAGTAGGTCCGCCCCTGTAAGGTTATTTATTATCCAATGCTTCCCAATTAATAATATAGATTTATGTTGATAATAATTTAGCCTTTTTGAATGGTGGTCCATAATTATGTACAGTTCTCTTGCTACATTCGAATCTTATTACATGTATAAAGTATACACATATGCAAATGTATGTATTTAATCGGAAATTGGCACACGATTTTAGATATTTCTCCATTGCCAACTGTGGGATACGTAGGCCAGCTCTACTTATTAGCACGAAGCGGTGATCCAAGTTTTTTAATTTTAACAGTGAGCTGAGTTCCCAACTAAAGTGCCACATACACTCGTTAGTAACTTGTGTAAAATGAAATTATTTAAAATATGAGATGATACTTTTATACAGTAAAATCTTTATAAATTAATATCCGATAAATTAATAAATTCTTCTGGTTCTAAATTGGGACCTGTGTAAAAAATGAAAAAAATCGATAAATTAATATGATAATAACTTTTTTGAAAATCCTATGTAAACATATGGTTCCATCAATAGCATAAATTAGTTTTTGTATAAATTTATCAATATATATATATATATATATAACATATATATTACTAGTATCATATATGTATATTATACGTAAAACATTTCGTGAAATATGTCTCTAATATTGTTTATTTTTCATAAATTTGTATTAATTTTTGGTTGATATATCAATTCTAATATTTTTACTATATCGAAAAAGTTGATGTTGTTTTCAAAACTTAATAATTACTTTTCAACTTGTAATTTGTTTAGAAAGATATTGATTATAAAGAAAAAATTATTTTTCAGAATTAATGTTTATAAGATATTACAAAATTAGTAAAATCTCTCTATAAATTAAAATTTATTAATAAATTAATACTTCTATAAATTAATAGAACTTCTCCGTCCCAAAATCATTAATTTATAGAAGTTTTACTGTACTTAGCGTCATATATATTATATATATAGTAATTTATTTATAGATTTTGATATCCATATTTTTATCTTTAAAATAAAAAATGCATAATTACGAAAGTATAGTTCACACTTCACACAAATCGTAGTATTGATGGGCCATCAAATAAAAGCCTTAAAAGCCCATTATCAAATAACGCAGACGCAGCATAAAACGTTTTTAGAAACCTGACTCGATAATTCTTGGTTGGTGGATAATCGATTTAGTTAGCTCCGTCCCGGGGAACCATGGCGTCGCTTTGCTCTGCGAAGTTCCTTCCTTCTCCATCGCTCGATGTTCTAGGGTTTCTATCTACGAAGAGGAAGATATCCTCCGACTCGCGCTCGCTTGTTTGCTCTTCGTCGCGTGTCTATGGTTTCTCTTCCATTCACCGTTCTTCGCGTCGCAATCGGAATCCGCTTCACGTTGTGTCTATGGCTCCTGAGGAAGAAAAGCTCACTCGTCGTAATCCTCTCGATTTCCCAATTGTAAGTTCCCCGGGTCGGGTCGGGTCAGGTCGGGTCTGATTTCGGATCTTTCACATTTCAATTCGCCGTGGTAATAAGTTTGATTGAGAACAAAGTGGCTTTGGTTTAAAGTAGCTATTGGCCAAACTGTTGTGAAAGAGTTTGTGATTTGTTCTGCGTTTTCGATGTTTCTGGTCCGTTCATGGCTTGTTTATGAATCTACTTGTGGTAACAGTTAAATCAATTGATACTAGTGTAGAGAAATGCTTTCTATTCATTACTCTAAATTGATTTGGTTGCTCATTAGGAGGGATTAGTGTTCATTGTTTCTCTGTAGATTTGATTATGAATGAATACCCGAAAATCTACTTAGGTTCGATGTAAAGAGCATGTCTCATTTGGTTGGCATCAAGGCATTAGCTTTCCTTTGGTATGTTCTTTACGATTCTCTCGATGTTAATTTTAATGTGATCGACTGTTAGGAGTGGGAAAGACCTAAACCTGGGAGGAGGCCTGACATTTTCCCAAAGTTTAGCCCTATGAAGACACCATTGCCACCGCCGATGCCTTATGATCCTCCGGAAGAAGATGAAGAAGAGGAAGAGAAGAAAGAAGAGGAAGAAGAGAACCCAGACCAAGAAGAAGAGGAACAACCCGAGAAGCAGCAATAGATTTTTTGGTTGGAGAAAATAAAGATGGGGAAACATGGAGAGATCAAAGAGGCTTTTTGTTTCAACTTTTGTAGTGTTTTGGAGGAGAAGAAGAATCAATCTTTTCTCACATTTAGTTGCTAGATTTAATCTCATACTCCTGTTCGTGTATTATATCTGTGTAATGCCACAGTTTCAGAAGCTATCTTTTAAGACATTCTCCTTTGGAAATTCGAACCTCTTGTTTTTGTTGAAAAATAGCATCCCAATCATACTTTAGTGGTTATAATTGAGAGAACCAAAATATCAGGGCCAAATATGATATTTTACATGATCTGGGGCGTATACTAATTTGCAAATTTTGAAATGACTCTCTTAGAAATTTGTTGTAAATTACTATATTTAATTTCGGTTAAATTTGGTTGTATTTGTTAGTTCATTTTGATTTACGGTACTTCGCTAATTTTGATTTATTTTAGCCTATTTTTGGTAATTTTGTTTGGTGTAGTTAGGAACTGAACCAAACCAATTATCTTGTGAACTGTGTCTTTCATTAATAGTATAAAGGATATATATACAAGGATAATAGGAGGATACAGAGAATAAGGTAAAATCCTAATGGGCCATGGGCCGGTTATGCAGTCCATCCATATGGTTTATAACACTCCCCCTTGGAAGACATAACCGTGTCCGATACTAAACCGGGATCTCTATAATGCGCTGGAGAATGTTGCCTCATTAAAACCTTACTAGGAAAACCCAGTGGGACAAAACCATGGTGAAGGAAAAAGAGTACAACACGCATTACTCCCCCTGATTTGAGTATCACTGTAGATCCTTAAGTCCGCGCATCCCGATCTGATGAATGAGCTTACGGAACGTTGAAGTCGGCAATGATTTGGTGAATAGGTCGGCTGAATTCTCACTTGACTGGATCTGTTGAACTTTGACCTGACCGTCCTTCTGTAATTCATGAGTGAAGAAGAACTTGGGCAAAATATGCTTCGTTCGATCCCTCTTAGTGTAGCCATCCTTGAGTTGAGCAATACAGGATGTGTTGTCTTCAAATATGATGGTCTTTGATGTAGTAGTAGATGCGCCTTAAGGAAGGCTGCCTACGTACCCTTGGAAAGGATCAAGCCACACATAGTTCCTATTCATTGACCATACCATAATCTGATCTTATGAATATCCTGCATTAGTAAATCAAACTAAACCAAAGCAAACTAGACCTTCTTTGGTTAGATCAGTATAGAATAAACCCAAGTAAACAACGCAGGAAGAATAGACTTTAAAACTTAATCAAACCTTCCTTTAAACCTTTCCAGTGCCTTTGGGTTGATCATGAACTAAATTTAGACAGGAGACTCACGGCAAAACAAATGTTTGGTCTAGTGTGTCTAGCCAAATTCATTAGAACTTCTATGGCACTGAGGTATGGCATTTCCGGACTGAATGGATCACTATCCAATCTGAGGCTTCTCACCACCATTGGGCCTGGTCAATGGGCGGGCCTGGTCCTTATTAAATCTCCTTGAGTACTCTTTCAGTGTATGCCATTTGATGCACAAGGATTCCATTATTCACGTACTCAGGTTGTAATCCCAAACAAAATTTAATTATTGCCTAGGTCTTTCAACTGTTTGATCGATTACCCAGAGGTTTAAATCATTCATATACACTGCTATGATTACAAATCCTTTGTTTGCAAACTTCTTGATAAAAATACATGGACTGATGGGATCATTTATAAACTTCTCTGATGAGATATTCGCTTAACCGGTTATACCACATACGTCCGCTTTGTTTCAGTCCATATAAGGATTTATCCAGCCTTATGCAGTGCTGTTCTCGAGAATCTTTCTTATCTTTGAGCTCAATACCCTCTGGTAATTTCATATATTATCCAGTGGACTTATATAAATATGCAAGCATTACATCCATTAGCCGCAAATCTTTCTCTTTTATATAGCAGACTTAGCACATATTTAAATGTCTTAGCATCCACCACAGGGGAGTATATCTCCTCTATTTCTGGTCTTTGTGTGAATCCTTGTGCGACAAGCCGTGTCTGATATATTACGCTTTCACTATGTTTATTTCACACAATCACAAAAACTCATTTGTCCCACTGGCTTTACATTGAATGGTGTCCTTTGTATTGGACCAAACACATTCTTCTTCTTAATGATTCTTAGCTCCACGTTTTATGGTCTTGTACCATTTTAATCAATCAGGTCTTTGAGTGCACTCTAGTATAGACGTGGGCTCCTGATCCTCATTCATTGTAGTTGCTACCTTGTGCGCAAATATTTTATCATTGATGTCGACATCTTTTCGGTTCCATTGTATTCTAGACATGATATAGTTTATAGAGATCTCTTTACACCTTCAGGACCTTGAGGTTTGGCGTCCCAAACCTCATTGATTGGTACCTTAGGGTTATGTCTATTAGCCGGCCATGTCTATGGTTTCTTGAACCTTCTCGGTTTCCCTTGCACCTTTCTTTGATTTCCGAGGGTTCTTGTCTTTGGAACCTTTTGGGTCTACCACGTTTCTTACGTGTTGTAGCCTCTGTAGCAACTTGATTATGTTCCTTGTAAACATCAATATGTACTGGTGCATTACAAGCTGGTATGTACGATTTTGTTACTCTCTTTGGGTCATTATAGGAATCTTGGCAACTGTTTTAGCTAGCTTTTGCAGATATATAGTCTTTTGGATCTCTGATGGAGTCCGAGGATCTTGCCATGTGAAGGATGTTTGATTCCATGTAAGTTCTTTGACCAGCTTGTTAGTCTCTCCACCTAGTGTTGGGAAAACGATTCATTGAGATGACAATCCTTGTATCTGGCCTTTGGCTCGAGATACTTAATGATGGTGGGAGAATCATTTTTAACGTATATTCCCATCCCCTTTTGAGGTCCCATTATTTGCTCTCTGTGGTGGTGCTATGGGTAAATAGGTGACACACCCAAATGTCTTTAGATGGGACATATCTGGCTCCTGACCTGTGAGTAGTTGGGATGGTGAATATCTATGCTCACTAGAATGGCCTGATGCGTATATGCTCTTGTTGCATGTAATATTGCGTGTCCCCAAGCAGCTATTGTGAGTTCAAGTATGGACATGTGCCACGGGGTATACTACTCTCCCCCTCATGGACATACTGTAGCCATAAAACGCTTGAGACATAATTTACCAGCATTATCTAGACATATAGTCTTAAGTATGTGGGCTCACAGACTTATGGTCTGGGCCAGCAATCTAGGAAACACCAAGTTTCTAGTTGCTTTGACTGGTGATGACCTTAGTATGGGTTTCCCTTTTGTACATGCTGCACACGTGAGGTCCTTAAGGAGTGTGCCCTTTTGATTTTAATATCAGCTTTACGCATCATGTTAGAACCAGGCTGGCCAAGCCGGTCATGCCATTAGTGAATTTCTCAGTAAACCCCTTTGTTTACTGTATTAGCCTCTATCATATTGACCTTGGCATAGTAAAGGTCTATGACGCGGGTATAGTCTCTAAGACCTTCTCATGGTCTTGGGTGCTCTTAGTAATATATGGAAATCCTTTGTTCCCTTCACCCTTAGTTTCAATGTGGAAACCATACAAACACATTTCTTTGAAACTCAACAAGCCCCTTTGAGCTGGGTGAATATGAAGCATCTGAGGCTGCGTGCCCTTGGGAATATGGGCCTACCATGGGCCTACCGTTAGCCTTCACTAAATTTAGCTATACCCGCAATTTGGCTAATGAACCATGTCTTCGTTTATTGAATTCTCATAATCATCTATCTCATGGTCGAAATCTTCTTCACCATCGTGATGAACTAAATGAGCTTCTTGATTCTTTTCAAACTCTCTTGATAGAGATCAACGAGATGCTTAGGTGTCCTGTACGTCTTAGTCCAATGGTTTCCCCATTCCTCATCAGTGGCAAACAAGTTTATTTGAGTGTTGTGGTTTGGGTATACCGTGGCCTACCTCGATTACGACCAAAGTCGGGTCGGTGGCCTTAACCATATGAATGGTTACCTTGATCATATAAATTATAATTTCCACTTCTACCACGTTCATTCCATTTACCATGACTGTGGCCATGATACTTATCTCTTTGGACGTGGTTAGACTCTTTAGTCTCTTTAGGCTCTTTAGGCTCTTCAGCCCAACGGGCTTCTGATAATGGGGTAGGACCAGGAGGTCTCATTTCACTATTTATAACTCATTGTTTTGCTCAGCAAGTAGCATATCAGAATCAATGTTCTCATCACGGTTTCTCCAAAGCCTCACTCCTTAGCACTCTCTACAGAGGAGTCCTCCCCAAAAACAAGAGTTTAGACTTGCATATGTGGTAAATACTTTTTTCACGATATTGTTGCTGAGGCAATATATTGTTTGTGTGAAAGGTCGAGAATGCTTTCTCTAGCAAGTCATTCTCAGTAACTTCCTCACCACAGAATCTCAGTATTGACACTATTTTAAATAGTGCTGAGTTATACTCATTCATGGATTTAAATTCCTGGAATCTGAGATTCTCCCGATCGAATCGGGCTTTTGGGTAATAGCACCGTTCTTTGGTGGTTATATTGATTTTTTTTTTTTTCAACTCTGTCCTGAGGTCCAGAGGATTGTTAATAGTGAGGTACTGATTTTGAGACTCTCATTGAGGTGATGGCGTATGTCAGTAATCGCCTTATATCTTTCTCTTCTGGTGACATTGTTTCCTTCCATAATAGATTCACCAAGCCCTTTTTCCTTTAGGACAATCTCAGTGTCCAAAGCCCATTTTAAATTATCACCAGAGGCATTGAGTGCCGTGTATTCATAATAGTTGATTTCTGATATCTATAATATATAGAGTTAAATGAGAACTCATGTAATCGGTTAGACCAAGTCATGCAGTATTTAAGACCGAGCCATGCTTGTCTTCAGCAAGTGTTTTCTAAACAATCATGTTATATATGGATGAAATCAACCCTAGAAGATTGATCTAGTATGCAACAACCAAACAATCGGATCATACTAGGTTAGGATATTAGGATTTCGCGGTTAAGTTTTAGGGTTTTAGCATCCGCGATTTATAGTACTAGGGTTTTTGCTAGGATTTCGGTTTTATGTATGGAACTTTCTATTTATGGAAACTTTCCTTATATGGAACTTTCCTTTTATGGAAAATTTCTATTTCTCATCTAGAAAGAAATCCTAAACAATTATGTACTTTAGTGTTTTGGAATATTTCCTTATGGAGGGGT